ATAACTCGTTAACGGTGCCTCGGAGAACAATTTTGTAAAGGAAGAAGTTGCTTCAAATGATCCGAGGAACCCGCCATTTCCGGATTGCGAGACATATTTGGGACACCCTGTAGACTGTTGTAAATCGATGCGAAGACAAAAGAGATGAGCTACTAGAGCAAGCCACTATAGTGGCGCGTCGTTCAGAGAGATGACATCCGCGAAAGCCACTATAGTGGCGTGTCGTTCTGAAAGATGACATCCCCGAAAGCCACTATAGTGGCGTGTCGTGTCTAAAAGGTTAAGCGCGGACTCGCGGCTCGTCTTCGATAGACTCGATCGATCTAAGGCGGCGCGGTGAGGCGCGGCGCCGCGTTCGACGCTCTCCTCTCACCTGTACGAATCAGGCATGCTGGGTATTCCGGGGTAAACGGCGGTGGGTGCGAAACCATGATGTATCCTAGGCGGAGAGGGCGGTGCTTGCGGGGGCGGCTGGCCACCCAATATACCCGAGGTCGGCGGCGGCGTGGGGTGTCCGGTACCGACCAAGCTTACCCCGCCGCTGTGCTGCTGTTGCTGCTGCGACGGTTGTTGCTGTTGTTGTTGTTGTTGCTGCTGCTGCTGTTGCTGTTGTTGTTGCGGTTGCGGTTGCTGTTGGTGCTGCGGGTTGTCCCTCCGTTGCGTGCGCAATTTCTCTTCGCGCCGCCACTTCGCCCGCCGATTCGAAAACCAGACCTGAGTTAGTGAACGAGAAGACAGACGAAGATACAGGTCAATCGCTAGGCTACAGGCTCCACCTAATTATCCGGCCGCGATAATTCGATCTTCGCGAACGCGAGCGACAAGCTACGACTGTCGCAGATTCGACGGTCGATTCCCGTTCGAACTTTCGTGGACCTGCTACGGCACAGATGTACGTCTATATGTACTTGGTTCGACGAGAACTGGCGTGAAAGTATAATTATTGTAATGTCTCCCTTATTGACGCTCGGATTGTCCACTAAAATGGATAATTTGGGAAGAAGAGATACGATTATTTGAGCCTTGCGGCTCGTTTTTATGATTGTGGACAATTTATAACTATAACAATAAACTGCAAGGCTCGAACAATCGTATCTCTTCTTCCCAAATTGTCCATTCTTGTGGACAATCTGAGCGTCAATTAGAGAGACGTTACCGTACGTCGACGCATCGTAATATTAGGCGATCTATGAAACGCAAACCCGCATACGGTTACGCGCAAAAACTCGTAAACCATGTTGCCCGAGTATTACACCCTATCGCTGCTCAATATGTACAGTAATGTCTCCCTTACTGACGCTCAGATTGTATACTAAAATAGACAATTTGGGAAGAGGAGACACGATTATTCGAGCCTTGCGGCTCGTTTTTTATGATCGTTGACAATTCGTGACTATGAAAATAAACCACGAAGCTCGAATAATTGCATCTCCTCTTCCCAAATTTTCCATTTTTGTGGGCAATCTGGGCGTTAATTAGAGAGTCATTATTGTAGCTGGACGCTACAATAAGACGAAGGTCCTTTAAATTTCGTCCCCGAGCGTCGTCGCCCAACAGCGATACTTCCGTTTACATTTTACGGCGGTTCTCTGTAATGAACACGGTATCGTAGAATCGGAACTCGTAATCACCTGTATTCGCGCCTCCGGTAGGCCGATCTTTCCGGCCAGTCGCTCCCTGGCGAACACATCCGGATAGTGCGTCCTCTCGAACTCCTTCTCGAGAGCGTCGATCTGCTCGTTACTGAAGCTCGTGCGATTTCTTTGAAGCTTCCTTTTCAAACGCAGACGCGCCTGATCGTCGTCCGTGCCGCCCGACACGCTCCCAGCGTTGCTGTTGTCACCCCCGCTGTTCGTTTCATCCGAGTGCGCGCCACCCTCCAGCTCGGCCACTGAAAATTAACGGACATTCGCCAAACGGACCAAGGATTTTACGTATTTATCGCATTCCTCGTTTCCTACGAGTCTCTCGGTTTCAATATCGGTATCGAGGCAAACGTGCGCGACCGAGTTTCAGAAATCTCTCAGGGATGCGAACAAGATAATGGCAAGCGCATATTCGACCGCACGGTAAATCGACACAGTTGTGAGAATCGGGCACGGTGTGGTCGCGAACATTTTGGAACAGATAACGCCTCGATTATGATACTTTAGTCGGAGCGATCGCGAAGATGGGCTGCGGACGCTGTTGCGGTTTCGGACGTGCCCGATAATCAAGCACAGCTTTCTTCTTCGATAAGTAAGTTAATTTGGAACTGTACGATGTTAACATTTCGCACGCTACGTTATATATTTTCAAACTGCAGCACATCCACGTTGCATCTATACGAACGATGTTGTTTCGACGCGATCAGCGCCGACGATCGGCCGCTAAAATTTCCGCGAACTCGAAGGAATTTCATTAATTGAATCGAAAAATAAAAACTTCAAATTTACAATAGCGGATGACGTTAGAACTTCTTCGCATCCGAAACGTCCTAGTCGAATCCAGTTTGTTCGAATATGCATATGCATCAACGAAAACGAATGATATTGGGTTGGCAACTAAGTAATTGCCGATTTCAGTTATAGATGTCTATCACTCCCATTTTTATGATATCCGTAAATGTTGTATTATAAAATTATTATTATTATTATTATTATTATTATGTTATTTTTTATTATCCGTGAATGTTAGCAACTGGACAAATTGAATGCAGCGGTCAAGGAAAAGCGACCGCAATGCTATAGTTAGCTTGCTGACTTTTTTAACACCCAAGAAATATAGTTCAAATGTTATTTCAATTTTCTAAAATGGCACCAAAGTGGTACCACCGGCATACAACAGATAGTTTTTGCATGGCACCAGCGTGGTGCCACCGGACGGCATAGTGTTAATATTGAAACCAATAAAAGGATTAGCCTCAGTCTCAACGAGGAGGTTTTGATAATATATTGGGTTGGCGACTAAGTAATTGCCGATTTCAGTTATAGATGTCTCTCACTCCCATTTTTATGATATCCGTAAATGTTATATTAGAAAATTATTATTATTATTATGTTATTTTTTATTATCCGTGAATGTTAGCAACTGGACAAATTGAATGCAGCGGTCAAGGAAAAGCGACCGCAATGCTATAGTTAGCTTGCTGACTTTTTTAACACCCAAGAAATATAGTTCAAATGTTATTTCAATTTTCTAAAAT